GGGAGGGTCAGAGGGAGAAGCAGACTCCCCGCTGAGCAGGGAGCCTGATGCGGGACTTGATTCCGGGACTCCAGGATCATGACCTGAGCCGAAGGCAGTTGCTTAACCAACTGAGCCACCCAGGAACCTAGTGGAATATTCTTTAACCTTCATGTATTTGTGGTCCTTCCAAATTTCTTCTTGTGGTTGACTTCAAGTTTCATAGCACTGAAGTCTGAAAATATGTATGGTATGATCTCAATCTTTTTGTATCTGTTGAGGGCTGATTTTGACCCAGTAGGTGATCTTATTCCATAATCACTCAAAAAGAATGTGTATTCTGCTTTAGGATGAAATGATCTGAATATATCTATTAAGTCTATCCGGTCCAGTGTGTCATTCAAAACCCTCATTTCCTTGTTGATGTTATGCTTAGATGATCTGTCAATTGCTGTGAGTAGGGTGTTAGAGTCTCCTACTATTATTGTATTATTATCAACCAGTTTCTTTAATTTTGTTATTAATTGGTTTATAGAGGCATAAATACTTATAATTGTTAGATCTTGATGGATAGACCCCTTTGTTAGGATATAGTGTCCTTCATCTCTTATTACAGTTTTTGGTTTAAAATCTAGTTTGTCTGAAAGAAGGATGACTACTCCAGCTTTCTTTTGATGTCCATTTGCTTTCAATCTGGAGGTGTCTTTGGGTGTAAAATGAGTCTCTTGTAAGCAGCATATCAATGGGTCTTTTTTTTTTAAATCCATTCTGATACCCTGTGTCTTTTGTTTGGAACATTTAGTCAATTTACATTCAGAATAATTATTGAAAGATATGAATTTCGTGCCATTGTATTACCTATAAAGTTGCTGTTTCTGTAGATTGTCTCTGTTCCTTTCTGGTCTTTGTTACCTTTGGGCTCTCTCTCTGCTCTTTAATATTTCTTGCAGGACTGGCTTAGTGTTCACAAATTCTTTTAGTTTTTGTTTGTCCTGGAAACTCTTTATCTCTCTGTCTATTCTGAATGACAGCCTTGCTGGATAAAGTATTCTTGGCTGTATATTTTTCCCATTTAGCACATTGAATATGTCATGCCAGTCCTTCTTGGCCTGCCAGGTTTCCATGGACAGGTATGCTGCCAGTCTTATGTGTCTACCCTTGTAGGTTAAGGACCTCTTGTCCTGAGCTGCTTTCAGGATTTTCTCTTTATCTTTGTAATTTGCAAACTTGACTATAGTATGTTGAGTTGTTGATCTATTCTTGTTGATTTTGAGGGGGGGCTCTGTGCCTCCTGGACTTGAAACCCTGTTTCCTTCCCCAGATTAAGTAAGTTCTCAGCTGTAATTTGTTCAAATAAACCTTCTGCCCTTTTCTCCTGCTCCTCATCTTCTGGGACTTCTATAATATGGATAATATTTTGCTTTATGGAATTGTTGAGTTCCCTCAGTCTACCTTTGTGCTCTAGTAGGTTTCTTTCCCTCTTCTTTTCAGCTTCCTTATTTTCCATCATTTTATCTTCTGTATCACCGATTCACTCTTCTAATTCATCCATCTTCATTTTTATGGTTTCCATTTAAGACTGCATCTTGGTGATAGCATTTTAAATTTTGGCCTGATTAGATTTTAGTTCTTTAATCTCTAAATAAGGGATTCTCTAGTGTCTTGTATGCTGTTTTTCAAGCCCAGTTAGTATCTTTATAATCATTGTTTTAAATTCTAGTTCAGTCGTCTTACTTATATACGTATTGATTACATCCCTGGCAGTGAGTACTCCCTCTTGTTCTTTCTTTTGGGGTGAATTTCTCCATCTTGTCATTTTGTCCAGAAAAGAAAAGAAGAAAGAAAAACAGCAAAAACAATAATAAACAATAGAACAACAACAAAATCCCACTAGATCCTGGGTGTGTTTTGGTCTGCTTGTTAAAAGAAACTAGGTCTCAAATAAGAAAGAAACACACACACACACACACACACACACACTACAATGTAAGGAAACAAAAAATTTAAACATATAAAGTACATATAAAAATAAAAATTTAAAACGGTGGTCTACTGGTAGACTTGCAGCATTTTTTTTTCCCCTCAGATCTCTGATTTCTTGGGTTTTCACAATGATTTGATAACTATCTGGTTGCATTTGAGAGACAAGACAAAAAGGGTCCCCCTCTTCCTCCACCATCTTAACTCTTCTACTTTTTGCCATTTTAATTACTATGTGTCTTGGTGTGGACCTCCTTGGGTTGATTTTGTTGGGGGTTCACTGTGTGTCCTGGATCTGGATTTCTGTTTCCTTTCCCAGGTTTGGGAATTTTTCAGCTATTATTTCCTCAAATAAAATTTCTGCCCCCTTTTTCTCTCTTCTCCTTCTGGGATCCCTATAATGCAAATGTTATTACAATTGATAGTGTCACTGATTTCCCTAAATCTATTTTTATGTATTACTATTATTATTATTATTAATTTTTCTCTCTCCTGTTCAGTTTGATTGCTTTCCATTACTCTGTCCTCCAGGTCACTGATCTATTCTGTTTCCTCTAGTCTACTGTTTATTCCTTCTAGTGTATTTTTAATTTCAGTTATTGAGTTCTTCATCTATGATTGGTTCTTTTTGTTTTCTGTCTTTTTGTTAAGGGTCTCATTGAGGTCCTCCACTCTTTTCTCAAGTCCAGTGAGTATTTTTATGACCATTACTTTAAATTCCCTATCAGGCATATTACTTATCTCCATTTTGCCTAGGTCTCTTGCTGTGGTGTTGTCCTGTTCTTTCATTTGGGACATATTCCTCTGTCTCCTCATTTTGTTTCTGTGTCTGTTTCTATCTATTAGGAAAGTCAGCTATGTCTCCTGCTTTTGAAAGTAGTGACCTTATGAAGAAAAGGTCCTTTTGTGCCTTGCAGTTCAATATCCTCTGCTCACCAGAACAGAACTCATCCAATATTAACTCAAAGTGAGGAGGCATGATAGTGCAAAGACATAGTGTGGGATTTGGATTCAAGAAGAACTGGGATTGAATCCTCACTTCTCTACTTACTCCTTGTGCAAGTGATTCCATTTTTTCTAAAGCTTAAGTTCTTAATATAAAAATATTCTAAATGATAGCCTATACCTTATAATAGCACTGTTGGAAACATTGAACAAGATAATGCTCCATTATAAGAATTGGCTATAATTATCACCATTATGATTGCTACTAAGGAAGAGTTTTCTGAGTTGGTCTGAAAAGGGTGAGCAGCAAGTGTGCATCTATCAGAGATTCCATAGAGGAGATTCCTGCTGGCTAGAGAATTGGCTTAGTGACTTCTGAGATTGATGGCAACACTTGAATTCTGTTGTTTCTTGGTCAATTCATGGTGAAAGCAAATGGAAGGCCCTGACCCATTAAAATAAAATAAAGATCTCTTGAGGGCTTTTATAGATAATGGATGTCACTGTAACCATTCTCTGAGAAACAGCAGCATGAACCTGTATCATCAACCCCATTTGTAATCACCATCATTGTCATCATGATTGGTAATGATATGATCATGACATATTTTAATTCTAAATACATTACTCTAGTGATTCATTTTAGTACCATATCTTACTTTTAAGTTAGATAATACAAATATAATTCTTCCAACTTTACAGATGGGTAAATGAGATATAGAGACTTTCTCAAGACCACCCAGATAACCATGCATTTATCCCTTGTGCTGGTCAGTGAGCCCAACCTTTTGTTACTTCTTCTCAATTATTCTATTTTGGTGGAGTGACCAAAGTGGAGGGGTACAAGGAGACTTGCCCCTCTTTCTTATGTTAATGAGAGAAAAGAGAATAGAAGGAGACTATTACTTCTTGACATCTACTACACACTGGACATTCTCTAAAAAAATCTTATAATGAAGAAGGTATTATTTATCCAATTTTACCTGCACTTGAAGATTAGATAAGTGTATTAACAAAACCATAAAGCTGAGTTTTGGTTACAGTTCTGACATATGTATGTGCTTAATCACTAAGGTTATTTGCAATTCTAAAAGTCTGTGACTCTTAAAAATGGGAGAGTGGAGAGCAGTAGTCTCTGACTATGGTGTTGAAACACAGTGGACTTGATTTAATATCTAGTGAGCCATAGACCTGGGATTCTAATCCGGGTCTGTCTACCTTTAATGCCTCACCTGGGCTCAGAGAAGAGAATCACTTCCCTTGGTGGGCATCCACTTTGAATGGCAGGGCCAGTTGGGTGTTTGATTCAGCAATATTGATATGCAACATCAGATCTTAAGCTCTGGAATTGTTCATTGTTGCTGCCCTATGTCAGGGAGTATTCAGACCAATTATTACCACATGGCTGGATCTGTTATAAAGCTTTGGAACTTTCAGGTGTAGCCAATATGCTCCTGAGTCATGCAAGTCTCACTGCTTCCCAGTAATGTGGTAAACAGATATGAGTTTATATGGTTTGCAGGTGGATTTTCCTTGTTCATATGTCATAGTTTCCCAGTCCATTGTTAACATTTCTTTTCATAGACTATTATTTCCTGTTTGATTCTGACTTTTCTTTTTTTTTTTTTTTAAGATTTTATTTATTTATTCATGAGAGACAGACAGAGAGAGAGAGAGAGAGAGAGAGAGAGGCAGGGGGAGAAGCAGGCTCCCAAGGAGCAGGGAGCCCGATGCTGGACTCGATCCCAGGACCCTGGGATCATGACCTGAGCCGAAGGCAGACGCTTAACCATCTGAGCCACCCAGGCGCCCTTGATTCTGACTTTTCTAAATAAAAATGTATTTGTGTTGGCCTGACAGAGATAAAGCTTAATTTAGTTGATCATAAAGATGTAGAATTCACCTATTACCATCATCTTATAATTAATTAAGTTTACTCAAACATTTTGTACCATTTCCATTCCTGCAAACAAGAAAATTGGGAAATGTCTGAAGAATGGCAGATATTTCCTTTTCATGGCATCTTCCCTGGAACCTTTCCTCCTGCCTCTTACTTCTGTATCTAACCATCCTTTTATACCTTTCCCCTGACACAGAAGTTCCTGAGGAGAAAAAAGGATGCTTCAAGTGGGCCTATGATCTATTCTGTGGCCTGGACCAGCAGAAGGGCCCCAAGATGACGAAGGAAGAGGAGGAAGCGATGAAGCTGAAGATGACAGACACCTCTGAGAAGCCTTTATGGCGAACAGTAGTGAACATCAATGGCATCATCCTGCTGTCCGTGGCCGTTTTCTGCCATGCATTTTTTGCCTGAGCCTTGCCTTCTGTGGCAGGCCTTGTTCAGGAAGGCCAGACTTTTTACTCTGCCTCCTTTACTTCTATTCTGTGGTGTTAAGCTGGTGGTAAACCAGCCAGTTGTAAATTTTGCCCAGTTGATAAATGTGTACAGGTGTAATTACAGGCTAACTGAAGAAAAATCATTAATTTGCTTTTAACTTATGTATTTGAAGCCAGTGTGATTATATATTAGAGCTGCAGAAGGAAAGTCCAACTCAGTCATGTCCAGGAAAAGATGTAGTAAGAAAGAAGCCCTGCCATGTGTGATGCAAGTTTTTCTCAGATAGATTCAGTGTGTTAGTGTTGTTTGTGATCCTTGAATACTATTTTAAGAGTTGTAGTCTCCCTGGTTCATGCTGCTTTCCCTTCATGACCTTCTCCCCATCTTTTTTAAAGAGAAATATTTCCCCTCTCATCATACACCTGTCAAGTTTTTCCTGGCACAAGAAAAATCAATCTGATAAACTAATGAATGCATTGAAGGTGAAGATGGGAACTTGATAGGGTCCCTGCCCTGGGTGTTTTGCTTTTTGAAGGGAAAGCCTGGGGATGGCAGAACTTACCCCAAAGGGAAGGACCCAGGCACCAGCCTCAGGCCAGTGGGGAAAGTGGATAATCTTGAGTCAAAGGGATTTTCTGGTTTTCTTTAAATTGTCTGTTATGAGTTCCTCATGTTTGAGATTTCACTTATTTTGTCATTTGCTGTGTCTGGAATGTCTTTGGCACTCAACTACGTTTATGGACCAAATGGATGATTTGGGCACTTATTTATAAATACTTGCTTTATTTTTATGTAAGCCTGGCCCTTGGTTAATTTTTTTTTTTTTTTTTTTTTAAGGTGGCTGCACAAAGTACACAGTATACACTCTGGTGACTCTCATCAATTGGAATACATTTTCCAGAGGCCACTCTTCCTCATGGTGTGGATGTTGACATATGGGCTTAGAAGCTGATCTATATCACATAATAGAACAAATGTACCTCTTGGAGCATGTCATTTCAAAGCAGCCACACTCTCCTGTAACATGGAAACAATTATCCCAAGATTCTCCTCTCCATGAGTTCATGTGAGCACAGTCCTTCCTTTTTGGGATGTCTTGAGTGGAGATCATCTATTGACCAAAGTTAGGGTAGGTGGTCTCTGTTCTGAGTAATAGCATTCAACACTTTTAGTTGACAGGAGTGTATTTCTTGTTGAACCTCTTTCCTAGGGAGAAGTTTTTAAATATAATTTTAATTAATTAACTGATTAATTAAAATCTTTTAGTCCCACCCATGAAATCTCAATTATGTTGTAATATAAACTTTGAAGTTAAGAAAAAGTCATGATGTTAGTGTTGACTGATTTCAAGCTAGGTTAGGAAAAAACTGGGATCTGAGGTGCTGTGGAGCTGAGAGTGGTTCCTAGGCATACAAATGGTTCAAGAAGCAAAGGGATGGCTTGTTCTTGTGGAAGGAAGGACACTAGTTGATACACCCTCCATATTGCCCTTAAGTGAGGCAGAGAAGAGGGGAACATGGAGAATTTCTTGTGGCCGGCATTACTCAGCAGACTCAGTTTCGTGTGGTTTGTGGTATTTTTGAGCTTTGAAAAGATAAAGGGAAAGGATTGAAACCTGGTGGATGAAAGAGGCACAAAGTATCTAGATCGTCCTGGGTTCAGTTTCTGGCATTGCCAATGATTCATGTGTATTTTGTAGTAAATTATTTTGTCTCAACTGTGTATTTTTCTCTTTGAAAAATGAGGACCTTGGTGCTTATAGCATCTACATACCTCCTCTGGGTGTGACTAGGTCACTTTGTAAAGAGGATGACAGATACAGACATGAAAGATGCGAAACAGATGTTATAGTAAGTGGCATTTAGTCCCATAAATTAAAATGTATTACTTTGATACTAATAAAAACATTAAGAAGGGGCGCCTGGGTGGCTCAGATGGTTAAGCGTCTGCCTTCGGCTCAGGTCATGATCCCAGGGTTCTGGGATCGAGTCCCACATCGGGCTCCTTGCTCCTTGGGAGCCTGCTTCTCCCTCTGCCTCTCTCTCTCTCTCTCTCTCTCTGTCTCTCATGAAATAAATAAATAAAATCTTTAAAAAAAAAAACATTAAGAAATGTAACATCTAGGTTTCCTGTTTTCTAGGTATTCTAAACAGATACTGACCATATGTGTGGCAAGCTTTAGTTGGCACAAGATGTGGATTAGGAAATAGGAGCCAAGACAGTGGAGAATAGAGTCTGGCAACTTGAATAAAAGGTAGCAAAAGAGATGATTTCAACTTCAAATCTCTACTAAACATGAGGTAACTCTACTTTCAATGCATAATGTCTTTTTAGGACAGACTAAGTCACTTGGATGACCAGGGGCCAATAAGTGATAAATTGTACTAGAATAATTTCAGGAGTACATAAAAGAGGTACTTTTTTCCTCATATGGAAGATGGGTATTTGGGAACAGAGTGACTTTTTATTATGGTCTGTTTATAGAACTGAAAAATCGTGTTCTATCAGGCAAAAAATCTTCTTTGAATATAGATGACTATTTTATTTATTTATTTTTATTTTTTAAAATTTAAATTTAAATTCAATTAGGCAACATATAGTACATCATTAGTTTCAGATGTAATGTTCAGTAATTCATTAGTTGCATATAACACCCAGTGCTCATCACATCCCATGCCCTCCTTAATGCCTTTCACCCAATTACCCCATCCCCCCATAGATGACTATTTTAAAAAGAATCTCCCCAAATGAAATCTCCTTTCCTGCAGAATGAAGTTAGTCTGTGGGCCTTTGGTTTACCTGGGAGCATTGTTTAATTTTATGTAACTGAGTCAGGCATTGGTGTTCACTTAGAGGATTTCTACCTTTGGAACTCACTGGAACCTACTCTTTCCTGGTGTGGAAATCACCATCTCCTAAAAGATGCATTACAGCTTGTCCTGCTTTACAAAAGCAAACCTTTGGAGAAAAACATACGTGCACTTAATTGGTGGAGAGTAGTTTCTTAACTTTCTTCCCAATCTAGCCCCAAGAAAACTTCTAACCTCCAGATTGGATTTTGGGGAATGAAATTATTTGAATGAGGTGCCATTGCCTTGATGGGTTGGTAGTATGGAATTAGAGAAGTGTGGGTGAGGTTAATGGCACCAGTGCTGCTTGATTGGCACTGGGTGAGTGTTGTTTAGTCCCAGAGCTCCATATTCAAATCACAAAAGCTCCTAGTAAGCTTTTGTTGTCCTAAAAGCAACTTAAAGAATATGTGATTTGATACAACTAATCCCCTGCTTGAAAAACTGTTAGCAGATGGCACGTGAGTGGCTCAGTCGTTAAGCATCTGCCTTTGGCTCAGGTCATGATCCCAGAGTCTTGGGATTGAGCCCAGGGGGTCCAGGATCAAGCCTATCAGGCTCCCAGCTCTGTGGGAAGCGTGCTTCTCCCTCTCCCTCTCCCCCTGCTTGTGTTCCCTCTCTCACTGTGTCTCTCTCTGTCAAATAAATAAATAAAATCTTAATAAAAAAAAAAAGAAAAACTGTTAGCAAATGCCCACCTGATAAAAGGGACCTTCTTGGGCACCTGGGTGGCTCAGTTGGTTAAGCATCTGCCTTCAGCCCGGGTCATGATCTCAGGGTCTTGGGATTGAGTCCCACATCGGGCTCCCTGCTCAGGGGGAGTCTGCTTGTCCCTCTCCCTCTGCCCTGCTCGTGTGTGCTCTCTTTCTCTCTCTCAAATAAATAAAATCTTAAAAAAAAAATAAAACAGACCTTCTCTACACATGAGTGCTGGAAGCATGTACATGTGCATTTAGGAATCAGATAAAAGGCTTAGAGCAGTGGTTCTCAAATGATAGCCTATATCAGAATCCCCTGGAGGGCTTGTTAAGACACAGATTATTGGGGCTACTCCCAGAGTTTCTGATTCAATAGGTCTGAAGTGGGGCCTCAGAATTTGCATTTCTAAGTTCCCAGTTGATTTTGATGCTGCTGGTCTGGGGACCACACTTTGAAAACAACTACTTAGAGTTAGTTTCCAAAGAGGTTTCATTTCATCACCAAGGCAGGCAGAACTGTAGGAACCTCTTTCTCAGGCCCCATTTTGAGATTTTTATTGATGTATCAGGACCAAAACTCTTTTCTGAAACCAAAGTTGTGTAGGTATGGCTAAGGCACATTACCATGTCAAGGTATAGAAAAATCCACCTGCCTTACCTTTAGGGCCTACCTGCTTAATTATGACCTCCTCACTAGATGCCAAGGCTTGACATTTTACCAGCTTGACTTTTATTTTATATTTCATACTCATCACATACCATATACATGCTGGCCCTCAAAGTCAGTTTTACAGGTGGAATTTTTTACAGATGTGGAAGGGGGCATAAAGGGAAAAAGCACTAATACTTACTGGGCATCTTCTATGAGCCAGACCTTGTAGGCAGTACCAAATGACCCCACCTAATCTTTACAATAGTTCCATGAAGTAATTTGGAGGAAACTGAGGTTCAGAGATTTGGGGAGTTACCCAAGGACCTTGGATGGATTTTGGTGGTCATGGCCTAGAGGTTGACAATCCCCTCTCTCTCTTACAGAATTTCCCAAGACAGCCTTCCAACAGCAACACATTTCTCCTTTAATTCTGGGTATCTTGGAAAGGGGTGGGATGTGGACAAGTCAGGAGACCATCTATTGAGTCATATTTATTAATATTAACAAATGTTATAAATTTGTAACATTTAAATCAGGGAGTTAAGCATTTCTATTTCTGTTTTCAGATGAACAGTGAAGATTCAGGGAAGTTGATTGTTTTGCTCATGGTGGGTCTTTCTCTAGAGCCTGTACCCATAGTTTTGGTTTAGGTGAATATCTCCTCCTTATCAAATAGTGATAGAAATATATCTTTTCTGTGAAAGTAGCTTCTATTCTTCCATGAGGACTCTTTCAAGACTCTCAGGACATGGATAAGGATGTTTTCTAGTTGTTAGGCTCCGAGGAAAGCACAGAGTGTGTGTAAAGGGATTAATATCCAGGCTGGTCTAAGAAGACTCAGAGTTCCTGTTCTTTTGAAAATTCAGTTAAGATAAATATGCAGTGTTATGTCTGAAAACCTGTTATTCAAATCTCTGCAGC